TTTGTAGACACCTGGCTCAGTTGTGTGTTGCCCCAACCACCTGATCATCTCTGTTTTGTTGCGACCGTGCAGGATTCCGAAGTGCTGGCCACAGTTCCAGCAGCAGTGAAAGCAATTCCGAGTGAGTCCCTAGCTGGTGAAGAAGTGTCCCCAGCTCAAATCCAGCAGTCCTGCGGAAACTGCATAATAATTTGGGTCACCCCGACTCCACTAGCCTGATCCGAATTTTGAAGAATGCTGGAGCTTCTGAGAAGGCCATTGAGGAAGCAGGCCGCTTCTCATGTGAGATTTGCACTCAGCGTCAGTGACCCACTCCATGTTTGCCGACGTCAGCCCATGCCATTGTAGATTTTAATCACAGGGTAGGGGTAGATGTTGAGATCCTGTCAGGCTGGAACACCAACCAGAAGATCAAATGTTTGAATATTGTGGGTTGGGCCTCAAGTTTTCAAGTCATGGTACCTTTTCATGAAACTAAGACAGGTCATGTTCTCAAGCGCCTTTTCAGCGACAAATGGATCACCTGGGCTGGCCCACCAATTCAGCTGATGATGGGTCCGGCTCGTACCAATCAGTCCGAAACCTTGTGTCCGCTCTTGAGAAAGCTGCCAGGGTCTTGACAATTGCAGCCGAAGCACACAATCAACTCGGTAAGGTAGAAAAGCATGGTCATCTGTTTGAAGTGGTAGTGTTTCAAACAATGTTGGATCAGTGCCAGCCCCAAAACAAGGAAGAGTGGGAACAGTGTGTGGTTCAGACCATGAGTGCCAAGAACAGCATGCTCAGTCAAGGGTCTTTCACCCAATCAACATCTTTTCGGCAGAAACCCCAGGATGCCTGACGATCTCATGCAAGAGTCTCCAGGCCCAGTTGCTGGAACCGCTGCTCTGCATGATAGCCATTTTGCTAAGGCATAGGCATTCATCCAATCTCAAGATTGTAAAACCTTGAGGACAGCTTTGAATGCCCGGCCTAGAGCCGAACGTGATTTTCTGGCGGGTGACTTTGTGTGTGTTATTGGAGAACCCAGAAATATCAGAGGGGTATTCGTTTAGTTGGGGCTCGCTGGTACGGAGCTGGAATTTTTATGGGTAAAGTTGGTCGCAACATCCTGGTTTATCATCGTCGCAACATGTTCAAGGTCTCGCCAGAACATCTTAGACATGCAACGTTGGAGGAGCGTGCTGTAGCTCAGTCAGATGGGCGTGATCTTCTGGGCATTGCGGGCCTTGTAGATGAACAGGGCCACTTAAAGGGTAGTCAGTATGTAGACCTGTCTCAACAAGAATTGCCGCCCAGTCCAGACTCAGTGCCGGCTGTTCCAGAGAGTCAAAGCAATGCCGCGGAGATCGATGCTGCACCACAGCCTTCACGACATGTCTCAATGCCCAGCGTAGGGAATGCTGCCGAAGGGCTAAGTGCCGAAGCGAGTGGCGAACCCTCCATGGGTTCGCAGCCAGCTGCCGCAGAGATGTCACAAGCTTCTGCAAGTGCTCCCAACACCGATGATGTCAGGACAGAACCTTTTCCTGCCGCCGCACCAAAATCACAGAGTACTGTCCCTAAATCAAGTCAATATGGTCCCATAAGATTTACGCATACCACTAAGAAACCTGGAGTACTCATTAGGCCTCCGGAAATGATTCAATCTGATTTTGCTGAAGCTGTTGTTGCTGATCATAGTAGTGAGAAGCGAGCATCCAGTCGCACACCTAGCTGTGAAGCGCCAACGAAAGTCTCAAGGACAGAGGCAATGGCAGCCACAGTGAAGACTGTGGAAACCATCGAAGTGTTTCTAGCCAACTTCCTGAGGAAGAAAATGCAAACCGAGTTGCATCACTCCAACAATCCTCCAGAGATCCAAGAAGCCATAGATGAATCCAAACTGGTTGAATGGTTGACTCTTCAGGATGAAAAGCGTGCAATTCGAGTGCTGGATCCCCGAGAAGCTGCATTGGTTCGAAAGCGCAAACCTGATCGCATCATGTCAGGCCATTTCGTAATCACTCAGGAGCATGAAGATGGTAACACAAGAATGAAGTCTCGATGGTGTTTGCGCGGTCATCATGATCCCGACCTGATGGAGAAAGTGGCAGCTGGAAAGTGCCAATCACCAACTCTGGCACAAATGAGCAAGAACATGCTTCTCCAAGTTTTGGTCTCATTTCAATGGGAGATGAACCTAGGTGATATCAAGGGAGCTTTTCTCGAAGCCGATGTCAAGTCACAGTTTGAAGCAAAGCCGGTTTATGCTGAGCTCCCCACCAGGCGGGGCGCCCGGCATTTTGGAGCGGACGGCAACATAGAAGGGGTGCTTGGGGCACACGTGGACGACACGATCACAAAAAAAGGCCCTGCATATGATCGAGCCATTGCAGCGTTGCGTTGTGGATTTCCATTTCGCAAATGGCGGACTGGTCAAGTAAAATTTCTTGGAGTTCAGTACGCTCAGGATCCTGTCACCAAGGAGATTTCATATCACCAGCATTGCCAGGCCGCCACTGAGAAGGAAATCTCTGCGTTGAGAGCAGTCAATGGAGCTCTAGGTTGGTTGTCCAGTCAGTCCAGGCCTGATTTGGCAGTTCAGACTTCTTTGTCACAACAATGTTTTCCCAATCCTACCGTTGAACACCTCCTCCAAACAAACCAAGCAGTAAGAAGAGCCCGACAAGATAGTGATTTGGAAATCAAGGTTCCTTACATCGATCCCCAAGATCTGACTGTTTGCTCTTGGTCCGATGCAGCCTCTGCAAATGCCGTCAATGATAAGACACAAGGTGGTTCGTTAATGGCCCTGACTGACAAGAAGTTTCCCGATGGAGTTGACAGCCCGGTGAGTTTTGTAGGCTGGAACTCATACAAGCTGCCCAGAGTAGTGTCCTTGACTTTAGCAGGCGAAGCACAGTGCTTGTCCAGTGCATCAGGTATAGCTGAGTGGTGCATGCTAATTTTGCCTGAGGCCTTGGATGGTTCATGTTCTCTGCAAGGTGTTGAAGAAGTGTTGCAGCGTCGTAGCCCACGTTGGGAAGTGGTGGAACTCTTGATGACAAACGTGTTGCCATAGATTTTGCAGTGATTCATCAATCCACAGTTCACAGTCGCCTCCAACCCCGTTGGGTGCCGACAGACAGAATGGTAGCAGATGGCCTCACCAAGGACAAAGGAGAACCCTTGGATCTTTTGAGGTCAGTCTTTAGAAGTGCCCGATATCAACTAGCTGATGAACAATTGGTGCTGGATCGAAAGAAAGAGGAGCGCATCCGGAGACAAGAACTTGGACGTGTCAGAAAAGAAAACAATCAGAAACAGACACTCCATACAGAAGATTCAGCCGAGCAAGCCGATGTATGCCTTTTTGTTTGGTAGGTGTTCTGGAAAACTGAATGAATGTAGGTCACTGCGTTTTGCCGTAAAGCGGTAACATTCCTGAGGGTTTTGTTTTCCTGCAGTATGCCAAGTGAATTCATGTGTAACAGTCAGCAAAGCCAGTGCTGATGAGGTACCGTGAAAGTACCGTGTTCTCATGCAGCAAAGAAAGTATGATTTTTTGATCGAACGTGTTCATACTCATTGGACGTCAGCGTTTTCGCCAAGCTCAGTGTCTGAGATTTTTAGGTAGGACCGAGCCGTGTTTGAACATTTTCGTTTTTCACCTTCTTCGCGATGCAGTCCTTTAGCACTCCAGTGACAGCACAGGAGATACAGCTTGTGCGAGACATCCTCGCACGCATGGAAGCCCAGGCCTTCAGCGATGTGGATCTCAACCCATCTTGGTGCAATGACCGATGGTAGCAAGCGTCTGCGTGACCAAGATGATTTCCCGCGTCATCCAAACATGAGTCGCTGTTTGGAAAGTGCAGCGGTCGTGCCAGTGAAGGTTTTGAGCTGATTCGTGATGTGCCCGAATCCAGTGCTCAGCAACCAGTCATTCCCAAGAATCAGCCGCCGACCAAGCTGCAGCTTCCCGAAGGAGTGGGTTCCGTGGAGAAATAGGGTGCCACTATCTGCGCCTTGCCCAAGGTGAAGGAAGAAGCCCCGACATATCATGAGATCGGCGCTCTTAGCAAGTTCAAAGAGTACCGCAATGGGGTGGTTCATCAAGGAGCCTCCAAGGGTCCCCGCTGTATTGACCTGCGCAACTATCTCATCGTCAGTGGGGCAGTCGATGCCGAGAATGGTGTGTGAATTCCGGCACCAACGAGATGCGCCGTTATCGCCAGTGATCCCTCCACGAGATCCATCTGCATGTATGAAGCTGAGGTGAACTTTTGCATGTTCCCAACGTCAAGATGTTTTCACTGCAAATATGAACGGACTGGGATGTCCGTGTGTGCCGTGGTTTATACTCCTTTGCGAAGAAAGAGGAGTTAAGAAGCAGTGCCATCCCATTGGGTCAGGTGTCACATCAGCATGGATCGAATGCTGTAGCCGACTTACTCGTTCCAGGAGGAAAAGCCGCAAGCAGGCTTTCGTTGGGCACAGGGTTGCCGACCTTTTCCAATAGGAGTTGGAAACCAGTTTATCCTTTTAAATTTATATAATATTATATATACATGATATATATTAAATATCTACTATATAACATATATAATGCAATGTAATGTAATATAATATAATATAAAAGAACTAACATAACATAATATAATATAATATAATATTAAGAAATATAACATAATATAATATAATATAATATTAAGAAATATAACATAATATAATATAACAAACATAAAATAATATAACATAGTATAATATAATATAATGTATATAATCTAATATAATGTATATAATCTAATATAACATAATATAATATAATATAATACAATATAATACAATACAATACAATACATATATATATATGTGTGTGTATACAAAAAGAATATATATATATAATAACTACAAGTATGCCTTTCTATATTAATTTACACATATCTCCATGTATAAAACATGTTTTCCATGGCTATACCAGGTATCTGAAAGCGAGTCTTAGTCTTCGCCCGAGCCTTGGAGGTGGACCTTGAAGAGTCTCGGACCACTTCAGAGTCTCTTTTTTTCCCTGACATGGAAAAAATGGTGAGAAGTGGTCCATCAAAAAATTTTGGTGTTTGGTGGGGTCCATGAAAGTGGGGAATATCCCACCATATGTTTTTTATTCATGAAACTATGGATTTTTTTGGGGTCCATAGGAGTCCATAGTCATGGGAGTATCCCAGCTGGACGGTTTATTTCGTGGAAACTCCTAAACATCCTAAACTGAAATGGATGATTTGGGGCTACCCACATGGATTGCAAACCTCTAGGGAATGGGTCTTAATTGGGATTGAATTCCAAGAAATTCATGGGCATTTGATGCGATTACAAGGATCGAATGGTGATTTAATGGGACTTAATGGGGCTTGATAGGCATTTGATGGGGATTCCATCTGGTTTACTGGGATCTGTATAATTGGATTTATTGGGGGTTATTTGTTAATAGTCATCCTTTTTACTTGACAGCAGCGTGGTTGGGGTCTAAGTTGCGTCTGTTAACTCCCTGGGGATTTTGAAGGGGAATAATAATTTACCACCCTTCTTGGGGATTGCTGTGGGTGGCCGGTGAGCCGCGTGGAACTGAGGATGTACCATCTATCTATCTATCTGTCTGTCTGTCTGTCTATCTTTCTATCTGTCTATCTATCTATCTATCTATCTGTCTGTCTGTCTATCCATCTATCTGTCTGTCTATCTATCTATCTATCTGTCTATCTATCTATCTGTCTATGCATCTATCTACCTATCTATCTATCTATCTATCCATCCATCCATCCATCAATCCATCTATCTATCTATCTATCTATCTGTCTGTCTGTCTATCTATCTATCTATCTATCTATCATCTAATCTACTCTAATCTAAACTAGTCTAATCTTATCTTATCTTATCTATCTATCCATCCATCCATCCATCTATCTATCTATCATCTAATCTAATCTTATCTTATCTTATCTTATCTTATCTATCTATCTTATCTAATCTAAACTAATCTAATCTAATCTATTTATATCTATCTATATCTCTATCTCTATCTCTATATCTATACCTATATCTCTATATCTATATCTCCCCATCCATCTCTCCATCTCTCCATCTCTCCATCGCTCCATCCATCCATATATATATATATTATCTAAGTCTACAGTAATCTCATCTCAGTTCATCTACAGTAATCTATGTCTGTAGTTCCATAGTTATGTGTATATATATATATGCTGCATACTTATATCTGCATTACCACCATGATGATGAACTCCGTACTAGGATGCACATCCAAGTTGGAGGGGAAGCGGATGTGTTTTTGCGGTTGGTTCATATTGGTTCAGGGCGAGATTCCGAGTTCATGGATCAGTTTGCTGAACCCGTTTAGTCAAACCAGTTTCTATCAGTTTCTGTAACCCCAACACACATCCAACCAAGGTTCCAAAGAATCTACCCACCCACGCGCAGCATTTCTTCACCCAACGGGCGGTCCAAAGGCAGCATCGCCATGCGCGTGGGCCCTGCTGCCAGGGATCGTTTTTTTTTTTACGCCCCTGCGGGCGGGGATGCACCCCTATATGTTGGGATATGGGGCCCTTATGTATAACCCTGATCTCTATAAATATATATATATATAAAGATGTAACCACCTACAAATTACCGGAGGGTACAGGAAAATGATTTTCCTCGACTACCAGAAACTAACCCTACTTCAGATATTGAAAAGAAAATATTCACCTAGTAGATGGGGACTTGCTGACTGCAGGGCCCATACTGGTCTCTTCAAACAGGAGACCAGCGCTAGCGAAGCTCAAGAGGTCAGAGGTTCTAATTTTTTACGCTGCGGCCTGTGACACAGGTACCCACAGCGGCTTGTGCCCACAACAGGGCCTATCCGCAAGCAAAACACAGCAAAACATAGCTCATAACCTTGGATACCCCTCAAGATGGGTCAACTTTGGGATAAGAACCATTTCTTGATCGCTGAGATCAAGGGCTTTTCCAGCAAAATGGGATGTCAGCGCTGAGTCTCTTTGCCCATTTTCCTGACCTTTCGTTTCGGCGCTGGGAATCAATCCTCGGTCCGGGGGTTCCCAATTGCTATCCGGCCAGGTGGGGTGTATCCCACTTGGAAGTCACGTTACCGGGCATTGGGGGGTCGTGGAAAATGTGGAGCATCAGTGCAACTAGCATCCTGGTACAAATTATATCAAACTATAGCAGCTCAAGCATAACCTCAGTCAGTACAAAACTGGGTCCACCTGATGACTGCGGCAGAGCATCTCCAAGCCGCCATCCATTGAACGATCCATCCAAGTTACCCAAGTCTTTTTGGGGGACAGTTGAGGACATGTGAAGAAATGGGCCAAATTGGTGTGCAGCAACCCAACTCAGCATCCTTCAGCCCCAAAAAAAGCCACCTGTGAACCCATACGTGGTGGTCACAGAAGTTGCATATCCCCATATTTTACTTGGGACTTTTACTAAAACGTTTCACCAATGGTCAGTACTCGGGTCTAAGAACTCTAAGAACCCCCCGTTTCAAGAATCCGTTCCCACATTGCTGCGTTTGAGTTCGGGCCGATCTTTCCACCACTCAGAGCCATAGTTGTGCACCAGTTGCGTCCCAGCAGGGATGGACATCGAGGCTTCATACCTGGGTCATTTTCAAAAACCTGGGATTCTTGAGGTTTCAGCAAAGATGTTTGGAAAATCACTTTCCAGAGTCCAGATTACCAAACTTTGGTGGAATATCTGAATATATTTTTAATACCTGGATGAAATCTTCCGTTTCAGTTCATTTCAAAGACATTTGAAGCTACCTTCATTTTCTCAGACTTTCCCAAGCTACTCCATCCCTCCATAGCTGCCATTGCGATGCCCGAAACTCCGATCGTTCTGCCGAATGTTCGCCACCTCTTGTGGCCCTCCGTTGGCGGCAAACTGCAGCACGGAACCCGGACATGGCGACGGATCCAGATAGCCGTTCACTTCAAAGCCGGGCGCAGGGTAGAACCACAAGGTTCGATCTTCATCGGGATCCAGGTGGGGATCAGTTCCTGAGGCCGAATGAGGGATGTGTTAGAGGTACCAATGATGTTCTCTTACATGTCGCGTATATTTTGATATATATATATATATATACGTGTGTGTGTGTATTATATATCATATATCATATATCATATATCATATATTATATATTATATATATTATATGTTATATATTATTTGTTATATATTTTATATTAAATACTATATATTATAGATTATATATTATATATTATATATATTATATTATAATATTATTATAGTACTATATTATTATATTATTATATTATATATTTTATATTTTATATTATATATCATATATTATATATTATAAATTATATATAATATATTATGTTATACTATTATGTTATATGTTATATCATATATATATATATATATTGTATTATGTATTATTATTGTATTTTATATTATATTATGTTATATATCAAATCAAATATTATACTATATTATATATAATATTATCTATATTATATCATATTATAATATTATATTATATAGAATATGTTGATGTGGTTTCATACGAACCCCATCATCCCAGAAAAAATCCCAAGTCCCATGGGTCCCATGGATTCACAAGAAAAATGTTAATTTTCACAGCACGGGTGTCCAGTGGTTTGCCGCAAACCATGGTAGACCATTCGATATCCCTTTGGCAGATTAAACCTGGCAACTAAGATCTTGCCAAAACCCTTGGGATGCTGGTAGACCTTCAACGCATCATCTCCAAACTTCAAATGCCTCTCACAGTAGGGGACCGGACAAGCCTTGTGTCTCGTAGAGAAAGAGGTCCTGAGAGACTCGGAGATTCCAGATCCACCGAAATTATGGATGTTTGAAGGCGCACAGCGGCGCACACATTAAAAAAAACGTTGGTCTTTGAATGTTAATATGTCTTTAATATGGTTGGATGGCTACCATCAAAAGAAAACTCTGAATGTCAACTTGTGATTCCAAACAGTGAAACTCATCTGGACAGCCAGCTTGCTTCGGAGAGATGTCATTTAGGGACAACTAATTCCCAAGTCCATATTCATTTTATTGCACCACTCTGAGTTACTGGAACATCCCTATGCTTGTGGCTGTGTCTGACAACATGGTACCCCTGAATCCACCATCATTTTCCCATCATTTTCCCTATGAAAAATGACAAATGTTGGGGGGTTAACCCAGTGACAAAGCCATAGGTTTAACACCAGCATCCGAGGCTCTGGACGGCCCGAGGACAACGAAACCTGGGAGAAAAAATCCCCACGGGGACTGTGGATCTGAATCTGTTGACCAACGTTGAGGATGTTGGAGGGATTAAGCCTTAAGCGATTTTCAGAATGCTGAAGCATGCTGAAGCCATGTTTTTTTCCATCTTGTGGGTTGTCCTCCCATCATACCATGGGGATGTAAACCTCTATCAGCAGGATTCTGACCACATTCATCATAAAGAACCCCTAGTAGGAGTGTAAAATGAAATAGATCCAATACTCAACCAGGGTCTCCGTGAGAGTGGTGAACAAGTGGAAGTGATTGATTAAACAATGACCAACTTCCACCAACGATGTCCCTTTAGGAAGCATGTTTCTGGAATCAGCTGTTTTATCGGTGAAAATGGGAATATCATCACCCACTTTTTCCATCCATCAACAAGCAGTTTGCGTAGGAATGCAAAGGTCCGCGGTGTGTGGTACGCAGCATAGACTCAGCAACTGGTTACCATTGGTTACCAAGCCTGTCGAGCATCATATCGAGTCATCTGAAACATCCAAGTGTGCAAGCCCTTTGAACATGTTCTTAAAGCCCGAATCCCTATCTCCATGCAAAAAATATGCCAAAGATATTTGCCCAAAATAACTTTGGGACCCGCCAAAGATTTCCAAGTCCGCCAAGCAGCCCATTGGAGCAGTGCGCAATGCACTGCCTGTCCGGCTTCCCATGCGGCTTCTTCTGCAGGGAACATGTCGAAGTCCTGGCCGCCGCAACTTGGTGTGGGCCGGCCGCATGGCACGCTACCTCCATTTCAGCCCTGTTGCACTTGAATAAAAACCAAAGGTGCTGTATAAACACTATCAAACACGCATATCCCAATGTAGCTGGGGTTACAACATGTTACAACTTCCAAGACTATCATGACTAGGGTGGATAGCTTCGGATAGCTACAGTTTCTTGTCTCAGGACGAGTCTATCGATGATGTTTGTGGCACCAAATCTTTGTCATGGACCAAGTTCCCGTCGCAAATCCGGGGAGACGAAGTTATCAAAAGGAAGGTGTGGCGGTGTGGTGTCAACTGAGAAAATTTTTAAATAGAAAACATGGCTATAGCCGATCAAATGAGTTTTGGCATGTTTTGGCATGTTTCGGCCACAGATTGTGTGTGGGTATGTCTAAAAACTGGCCATGTGACCCTCAGATTTCGTACGCAGTCCCAGGCATATCAATTTTGGTATAGATTCCCCTCAGATTGCCCCCAACCATATTGCCCTCGACTACTTCTTCCAGTTAGGCACCACACATGGGGAGAACTTGGGACAACCGCATCACAAAGATTGAAATCCTCTTCAAGTCACAAATGGCCAATGTGCCAAAGAAATTCTGGTGGAACGCCATCTGGAAAGGCTCCAGCTTGAATGTCCGGTTACTCTGCCGAGTGTCAATCGCGCCACAGCTTAAAACTGATGTCCAAGAACCACCGCTCCAAATTATTCCCAACAGAATTGGCTGGTGTCACATCCCAAACTGAACAAATTGGGTCAAATCTGCAATGCCCATGTGAGTCATGGTCAAAACATGGGTAGATGTGGTATATGGGATGTTGGTCATCCATCCAATGGGAATCCAAACATCATTGGTATATAAAACCCCCGAAGGATGACCATCCGCCACAAACTCGGCTGTCCTGATGATAGTCATCACGGTGATGTCAGCTCCCTGAAAATAACGCCAAGCTGCTCGCGTGTCGCTTGTAACGTGGCTTGAGCACTTGTCAGATGTTGAGCTCTGTGAAACCACATGGTTCAATACCCACTCTTTTCAAACATCAACTTTCTGAGCCACTGCAAAAGTCTTGGTGCATTCTTTGCGCGGCAATTTAGGGTTTTACTATTGGTTGTTTCCACTAAAACGGTGTGTGTTCTTTGAAAAGTGTACCCAGATTCGTCCCATGGTCAGAATTTGTGCCGTTCAAACACTTTAAAAGATGTTCCAACGGAAATTGGGGGCCCATCCTCCGGTGCTATTGGATAAAACCTATGGATACCTATGGCCCTTCTCCATCAGCGACACCTGAGCCGAAAATCATCGTGAAAATCCCAGTGACTTCAACAGTTCAACGGAGAAATCCTCAAAGTCCAGGAGATCTGGGATGGGAAGTATGAACGAGCGAAGTTCTGTTTACCAAAGAATTTGGAGTTGTTCAAAAAGAAGGTATACCGTATACCCCAATCATGGTAATTTTGATCAGGAAGCTGATTTTCGAACTATCATGTGCTTCTGAAATTCTTGATAGCTCCCTGGCTCCCCATTGTTGATGGGGAATATGAAGACACCCATAGCTCCTTAGCTCCTTCCCAATCCCACCGGCCAGCTAAAGAATTTGAATTCATGGGCACACCAGTATTCTTAGTTATATATAACCTCCATGCTTCCCATCAATCTCATATGACTCATGTCATATTCGCATTTCTATTCCGATATTCCCATTGAATCTCCGAAATCAGTCTACAGGGTCTATCAGGGTCTCTCAAGGACAACCGACGACCACCTGGTTCGCTCTCCAAGAGAGCAAGCAATTCTTGTGCATGGTCCTGGAGGTCTGGAGGAATCGGAAAGTTTGTTCTGTGCTTTGACACGTTTCACGCTCTGATCTCACTTGCGCCCATAGACACGACTCACTTGCGCCCAGATTGACCTGAACATACCTTTATGTGGAAAAAACCACCATTTAGGGTCTACTCTTAGAGGACATGGCGGGGACTTGGGGGACTAGGGGCTTGGCCAGGGGGGACTAGGGAGGGAAATGGAGGCATGCAGCAACATAATGGTCTTTAGCTATCCCAAAAAAAAAGGACCAACGTCCTGGTGGGTGGCATGGCTACAATATGCTTCAATCCAGAATTGCTTGGACTTTTCTGATCTAAGACCTCAAACAGAGTGCTACTCTCAGCAGCTTGGCTTCAGGTACCTCGACTTGCCCTCATGCCAATTCAAAAGCCGCATGATAAATCAATGGTGAACTGTTTTTTATCATGGTAGTAGAGGGGAATTTTCACCATTTTTGTGGTTTTATCAACTGCCAGGAATCTACTTCCAGGTTTGAACTGTTCTAAATCCACCGGTCAAACCTGGCAGTAGATGGTTTTCGTGCACCTCGACGTCGGCCATGAGCAGCTTCAATTGACTCTCTGCCTGGGGTGCCAACATGTCAATGTTTTTTGGTTCTTCCAGTTATAGAAGGTAAATGTTAATCCCTGCTTGGTTTAGTTGAGTGTTTACATTTTACTTGCAAATGAAAACTGTTTTGTGCTGTGTTTTCCTTATTACTCAGCCAGAGCTTTATTTCTACTCCGGGGTTAAGGAGGTAGTCAGGCAGTTGATACATGCTTACAGGACAAAACCATCAAAACCTTTCTGCGTGTATCTGCGCAGCTTGGGCATCTGCAATCAGTTAAGAATCGCAAGTTCGGATCTACCGAGCTTGCTTCTGCAATGTCTTACCCTCTGGTAATTTGAAAAGCTGTGGAACACTACCCGTTTATAGATGATTTGCCGATTGAAAGTGCTAATCTCCATGGCTATGTCAAACTACGCCCAGACACCCCGTGTCGTCCCACATCACTTTTAGGTTTTCAAGGTCTTAGGGTTCAAGAATTGGGGTTTAATGGTTCATGTGTTTTGCTTGTAGGATGCTTTCCTTTTATATATTTGTCAATTGTCCTTTTGTGTGCTAGGGCTTATGCTTTGGGGTTTCAGCTCTTAGGGCCTTAGGATGTTGGGGTTCAGAATGACTTGTGCAATGATGCACAAGTCCCCTACCTGAGCTTTTCAGAAATGCCACTATTTACGGATATTTACGGTGTTTTGAGAGTGCCTCAGGCAAGACGAGGTGATTGCCCGCAAAATTACTGGGGGGATCGCCAGCTTTGTATCCCTTTTTGGTTTCTATGTACATCTTCATTGCCATCCAGAAATTAACATAGCTATGGAAAAATTGCAAATTTATAGCTGCTTTACCTACTAAGATGGTGGTTTTCACTAGCTATGTTTGTTTCACCAAAGGGAAGTTTTAATTTTGATCATGTTCATCACTTCCACATTGTTCTACCGTGGGTCAACATGTTCTTCCGTTGCCTCAAAAGCTGGAACCCCACAACTCATCAAGCAGTGTATCATCAAAGTTTCCCCATTAAGATTGCTATTTGAGGGTATCCTCCTGTAATCAAATGTGGCAATGAAAAATCCACCATTTAAATAGGTGATTTTCCTATCAGAACCTCCATTCATAGAGGATTTTCCACTGCCACGTTTGAGTACCACAGGGTATCAGCCTATGCTTGGTTTCCCAGAAACATCTCCGCAGCTCCGACCCCCAAAAAACTCCAGACCGAGCCGTCCTCCGACGTGCGCCGCTCCAAATCGAAGATCGAAAAGCTGTGCTTCTCCTGACTCGAGAACTTGGAGACCCGGAAACAGGACATTTTGGGGGGGATTGATATTGTTTAATATTCTTTAATCTTCTTTATACATGGTTCAACTTCAGAATTTGGGATGTATAATGAATTATAATGAATTATAATTATCGAAGGAAGTTTAGAAGTCAAACTTCCGACAATATGGACAGATGAAAAGCAGAGCAGGGCAGAGGCAGAGAGAAGAGGAAGATTAGAAGAGAGAAGATCAGAAGAGAAAGAGTAAGAGGACAGAAGACACAGATGCGAGAAAAGGTAGGAAAGTCGCGAAACACTGTGTTTTTCCAATGATCTGTGGCTCCGGAGGGTCGAAAAGTAGGCTCGCTAAAGCGGCGGGTGCGGAGCCAGCTGGCCAGATGAGAGATGAAAATTTGCACGCCGTTGTGGCGCGAAGCACATTTTGAAGTCAAAATGTACAAAACACACCATGGCCGGACCACTTTTGGAAGTTGCGATGTCGAAAAAGTGCACGCCGTTGTGGCGCGAAGCACATTTTGAAGTCAAAATGTACAAAACACACCAGGTCCGGACCCCTTTTGGCAGTTGAGATGTTGAAAAAGTGCACGCCGTTGTGGCGCGAAGCACATTTCCAAGTCAAAAGGTTAAAAACACTAGGGGTTCGGACCACTTTTGGAAGTTGAGATGTCAAAAAAGTGCACGCCGTTGTGGCGCGAAGCACATTTCCAAGTCAAAAGTGTTAAAAACTGGCGGTCTCGGACCATTTTTGGAGGTTCAGATGTCGAAAAAGTGTCGAGAAAGTGCATGCCGTTGTGGCGCGAAGCACATTTCGAAGTCAAAAGTGTAAAAAACTGAGGGTTTTGAGCCTTTTTTGACGTGCTGATGTCGAAAAAGTAGACACTGATTAACTTAACTAACTTGACTAACTTAAGTACCTTCACTAACACAACTACCCTAACTTCGACGACAACAGCAACAGCAACAGCAATAACAACAACAACAACTACTACTACTACTACTACGACTACAACTACTACAACAACAACAACAACAACAATAGATCCATAGATGGAGAGATAGATGGAGAGATAGATAGATAGATAGATAGATACATCGATAAATGCATAGATCGATACATGGAGAGCTAGATAGATACATAGAGAGATAGATAGATAGACGGAGAGATAGAGAGAGAGAGATAGATAGATAGATAGATAGGTCGATCGATAGATAGATAGATAGGGTCATCAAATGAAAGAGAGAGAGGGAGAGATAGATAGCTAGATAGAGAGATAGATAGATACATAGAAAATAGATAGGTAGGTAGGTAGATAGTCAGAGAAAGAGAGAGAAAGAGTGAGAGAGATCAAGCACCTTTCAATCCAGCAGTGGCTTCGCTCTGCCATCCCTGATTCACAACAACCAACCTCTCCTATAGGTTTCTTATTTTTGAAACTTCTGCCACCGCCTTGTGCGGTACTACTGGTACATGTGTCGCTGATTGCCTTAAAATTTGGCCAATCGTGGGGGGAGCCCTTTGTGAACTTCAAACTGCCTTCTTTTAATGTAAAATGTAGTCAGTGTAGTCAAAACTGATCAACTTGGGGAAACCCATTTCTTTCCAGAATCCTGATCCAAAAGTTATTGAGGTATTTTGTTTTTGAGTGTGTCCGCTTGCATTCTCTTCTCTTCCTGTCTTTCCTTCTTCTTGGATGTTTGTTTGGCCTGCCATCAGTTATCAGCTGCAGAAACCCATACATAGAATATGGATGAACATGGTACATGTGTTAATCAGTGCCTTAAATTTGGCCGCTCGTGGGAGGGTATCGTTTTGTAAACTTCAAATTGCATTTTTTTAATCAAGCACGGCCAAAAACTCTGGAATTTGGCAAAACCATTTCTTCCCACAATTCTTTGATCTAAAAGTTGTTGACATATATTTTTTGCAGGTGTCCGCTGGCATTAGCTTCTCTTCCCCCCTTTCTTTTCCATGGTTCTTAGATGCTTGCTTGGGCTGCCATCAAATATCAGCTGCGGGAACACATAGATAGAATATGGATGAACATGGTACATTTGTTTGTAGCGGGGGCCTTTTGTGAACTTCAAATAGCCTTCTTCATTGTAAAATGTGGTCAAAAACTGGTCACCTTTGGGAAACCCATTTCTTTCCAGAATCCTGATCCAAAAGTTGTTGACATATTTTGTTGCAGGTGTCCGCTAGCATTATCTTCTCTTCCCCCCTTTCTTTTCCATGGCTCTTAGATGTTTGTTTGGGCTGCCATCAGTTACCAGCTGCAGGAACACACAGGTAGAACATGGCTGAACCTGGTACATGTGTCAGCGCAAAGATAGCCTTAATTTGGTAATTTGTAGCGGGGGCCTTTTGTGATCTTCAAATAGTTTTCTTCAATGTGAAATGTGATCAAAAACTGGTCAATTATCTGAAACCCCTTTCTTTCCACAATCCTGAGCCAAAAGTTATTGACATAGTAGTTTTTAAGGGAGCCCGCTTATGTTCTTTTCTCCCCTCTCCATTTTTCTCGCCTTCTGCAAACTCTGCACTTATAGATGTCCAAACTGCTGGGTTTCGCACCTGTTTTTGATATGGAAAAATCGCTTTTCCTTTGGTATTTGCTTGTTGGCTTGCTTGCGTACTCCAAATTTAAACCCATATATTTTTAGTTCATCCAAGTTTGTTTTTTCGAGGACACCCGAAGGGTTGCATATTCTATGTATCTGATCATGATTATATATATATATTACACATCATTAACACAGTCTCCATCGACAAAACATTGATTATCCTACAACATCTATCAGATCCACAGAACATACATCATCCTACAACATCTTTCAGGTTTACAAAGTTCCTGCAATGTTATTACACAGGAGTTGTTTCACATCATGTACATCATCTACAGGTGACCAACTTCTACATATCTCCTACCAAATTTCTGCAAAGCCATTCGCGCAGGAGTTCTTCCACAGGAGTTGTTACACAGATGCTGTTACGCAAGACATTGTTACACAGGAGCAGTTACGCAGGAGTAGTTACACAGGAGTTGCTACACTGGAGTCACCTTCCAGGTGGTCAACTTGTATCGCTCATCAAAACTCCTACATCTCAAGATCTTCTATTTCACTCTTTCGGTGGCAGTGGCAGCCAGGCCTCATCCATCGAAACGTGACCGCAGAGATCGCGCGTGTCAGATGCGCAAATGTGTGGTGCAATGCGAGTTTCTTCTGCCCTTGGGCAGCCGTTTGCGGAGATGCAACCATTTCGCGCGAAATCAAGCTCATTACGTAAAATCGCGATTGCACATGTTTTTGCAACGTCAGACGCGAATATACGCGAGTGAAATGTCGAGAAGCTGTTGTAAAATTGCGTTTTTGAAACGTAGATGCGACCCTTTCGCATGAAATGAAGATCGAACGTTAAAAAATGATGTCAAGCTGCGACTTAGCAGCGTCAGATGCAACATGATGCAACCCTTTCGCAAGAAACGAAGGCTGAATTTAAAAACATGTAAACTTGCAGTTTGGCAACGTCAGATGCAATCCTTGCGCGAAACGAAGGCCGAATGTCAAGAATTGATGTAAGATTGCGATTTTGCATCGTGTAAACGCTGCTCTGCGTAAAAGCTTCTCTGATCTTCTCTGTGTAAAAGCTGCTCTCTGCAAGGACGTCTCACTGGAAAAGTTTCTGTGCGTAAAGGCTTCTGTGTGTAAGCGTTGGTGTGTGTGTGTGAACCATCTGGAAAGATGTAAAACTTCTAACTTAGCAGGGGGCCGCTGGGGAACATTGCAGTCAGCGGCCAACGAAGACGCTGCAATGTTCCTGTGAAAACGTACCTGCAATTTTCCAGTTTTTCGTCAATGGCAACCGGCTAAGCCAAGAACCGGTATGTCGTTTTTCCAACAGTTTTCAAACTACTGTACGGTTTTCGCAATCTGACTGAGCTGCATCAGAACAAGTAAATCCTTCGAGCAAGGACGTAGAAAGATTTCCTCGCACAGTTTCTCACTTCCAATCATCAAACCATTCCTGTCAGGTTTAACTGAAGTGTTTTTGCACGTGCGATGCATTCCACATCAGTAATTCGATAAGATGTTTCTGAGCAAGTGTGTGTAAAAAGCTGTTTCGTGTAAAGGCTCTGCGCCAAAGCTTCTGTGTAAAGCGTCTCTGTGTAAATCGGTTTCTGCGTGTGAAGTGTTCAATGTGCAGACTTCTATGTGTAAAAGCTCTTTCTTTTAAACATGTTTAAACGCTTCTCTGTGCAAAAGCATTTGTGGGTTACAGGCCTGTGTGTAAAGACGTTTCTGCGTAAAAGCTACTGTGTGTAAAAGCTGCTCTGTGTAGAGGCTTCTGTGTGTAAAATCTTCTCTGCGTCAACACTTCTGTGTGTAAATGCTTCTGTGTGTGAAAGTTGCTATGCGTAAAAGCTTCTCTGTGTAAGACGCTGCTCTGTGCAAAGGCTTCTCTGTGTAAAAGCTGCTTTGTGCCAAAGGGTCGCAATGTAAAATTTGGGGTGCAACTTGGACTTGTGACCTGTGGGGTCTATCTTTTGTTTCTTTGGGTTTGGCTTCAGTTCCAGTTTTGCAGACAAGATGCGACATACCTTGCTTCTCGACCCCTATATACTCAGACGTCGCACATCGTGATTCACAAGGGCCATCCCTCATCTGAATAGACGGCATGGGGATATACAGATACAATACAGATACAATACAGGTACACATATGATAAATAACTTCATTGTCACTCACTGTGCGTGAAATAAAACGCTGGTTTTTTTCAGCGTGAATCATCATGCATCAACAACTTCATTCATCACTCATCGTCATTCATCATCTTTCACCATTCATCATCCATAATCTTCATAACTTCTTTTCCAGTCTCTTAGGTCTACTCCCTCCTGCTTTTCCTTTGGGCCACTTTGTCGTCTAGTGATAGCGAAGTTTTTGTTTGAGGCCCTGGTCCTCTTGTATTTCGAAGCTTTATATGCATCTGCTTTGC